ATAAGACTGTCCCTGAAAGTACTTTCAATTCGAAAATGGCCTTCGTATCCATTTACTCCAAGTAGCAAATCTTTCCCCTGATAAACATCCTTGAGTTTATTCATATGATGCGGTGCTTGAGGCCAACGAATTGTGTTCAACTTGGTAAGATCAAACCTGGGAACCCAGGAATATATATTTGGTTCAGACGCTATTGACCAGATATCCTCTGCCTTGACTAATGTGAGACAATTTAGGATTTCCTTGCTTGCTTTTCGTCTGTTGTTTGGTATCGAACAATTTAATGCCATGGCGAATCTCTTAGCAGTGTTGAATTGTTGATCGGGTGTGGACTGAGTCCAAAACCCATTAACGGAACCACAATGTGATATAGCTCTTTGGAATAACGACTGGTTCCCAAATAAAATATGATACATAATGCCTGCGGGATTGGAAGATCCTCCAAAGATTGTAACCATGGAACTGTTTCCGCCAAAACTATCAATGTTATCTTTCACCCATTTCAAGGCAGTCTGTTGATCAATTGTCCCTGAATTGCCCGGGGCATGGCTGTCCCCAGTTGACAAAAATCCAAAAGGTCCGTATCGATAGTTCATCGTCACTACAACCACGTCACCGTATGCAGCTAATCTTTTCCCGTCGTATAAAGACGATTTACCGTGAAGAAAAGCTCCACAGTAAATGAAAATCATGACTGGGTAATTATCTGTCCCGTTGGTGGAGGGAGTAAAAATGTTCAAGCTTAAGCAGTCCTCGCTATGATTAACAATGGGTGTCTCTGGAGTAAATTCATAACAGGGTGGGCCATACTCAAAAGCTTCGAACACATCACTTGCGTTCCCTGATTTTAAGATGGAGTGCTGGAAACGTAATTTACCAATAGGGGGTTCAGCATAGGGAATCCCTAAATACTCCACAATCGTTATATTATTATCATCGATAAAAACAGTGTTTGTTTTACCTTTTATGACCCCCGCGGTTGCAGTAGTTGTATTAATAATTTCCGCTTGATATCCAACAACACACACACACAGAAGTAATACGGTGTTCAACACTGAATGGGTAAAAAGTGACATCATGATGGCTACTTTTCTCAAAATATGAGTTCTCTGCTCAAGAATATTTCCAACAGTTTGTTTTATAATACTCTCTGTTGGTATCTACGGTGGTACTTAATTGTCACATCCGTTAAATGACTACAAGCATATAGGTCAAAATCGGCCTGCGTAATATCACTTAAATGACATCCGTTAAATGACTACAAGCATATAGGTCAAAATCGGCCTGCGTAATATCACTTGTGAAAATGTGAAGTAAATGTAACCAACCATGCAAAACTAAGAACATGCGCATGGGTAGCGACTTAAAGAAGAACACAGGCCGTTTCGAATTTTTTAAACATTATATTCATAATCCTTTTAAGACATATAGAAATAGATTTCACTAAAAATAAAACACACTTATATGGATATACTACTTCTGAATTTATTAACATGCTACGTTTCGATACACATACAGATATCGTTTTCAAGCAAATATTCATAGTCTATATAGATGTCGAAAGGAAACAAGAAGCTTACAAAGAAATGATTATTTCATGTTCCTGAAGCAACGACAGCGAATTTCACAACATTTTAGCTGGAAAGCGTGAGGCTTGGTATTCGCGATGATTGTGGAATCTAGTGGGCTCTGAAGTTGGGTCAGTACACAATCGAAATTAGTGCCGAAATATACAGGGAAAAACGTGAAGGACTTGATAACCTCCCTGCTTTGATTCAATCCGATTTAAAACCGGCTTATCAACCCTGCTCGCCCACAACATAATGGCGACCGGCAAGTAGCATAGATCGATGAAATTTCAATTCAACATTGAGCCATTTTTATACCGGTATTCCTATTAAAGATTCATCTTTCACAATATTGTAGTTTTCAACGGATACTTATCGCGCTTAAATGACGCAATGATGCTTTAGTTTTGAAACCAAATTTACAGGGTCGGGAATATACACATTATTGTCATATTAAGAGTGGTGTTATTCGTTTGGAAATATATATCAACAGTAGATTTTGTCGTATAGAATCATGTAAAGAGACAGAAGACATGGAATTGGGGACCTAAGAATTCGGCTGTTTGTTTCGGACGAACGACTAGATACTTTTCCTAACTGCACTATAGTCTGCAGTCTGCAATCTGAATGCGAAAACGCGAAACATTTTAAGTAGCTGTAAGATTTCAACTCTTGTTTATAACACTTTTTTTTAATTTTGGCATATCTTTGCAATTGTTTAGCGCCGAGTTTTAAAATTTTACAAAACAATTTTTTTGTGCCTATATTGAATGGCATTTTGGATACGGGTGTAAGGCGTTCCGACATTTCTCTAAGTTATTTCGCCTTTCGCAACATAAGTTTGGATGATCTAGCTTCATTATTTATTATTCTTTTCGTCTAAAATAAATTTTGTATGCTTCGTAAACATTTTTCTGTAAGGACCGAAAGTGGCGTAACTTCGACAAAAACGCCCTTCGTACGTCTTCTGAACACGTTTGGGGTACCAAATTAATGTTTGAATTCATCGTCAGCTATTAGATCAACACATAAGACGAGCTCATTACGTCAGTCGTGGAGACGGGCTGCCAGTTAAAAGCATGCAATGTGTGTTTTTGGAGGGTACTTACTTTGCCTATATACCAAATATGTCAGACTTTTATTGAAAATAACTACCCTATATTTATTTTTGTGCAAATGTATCTTTAAGTAGAATTAGAAGTAAGGTTTCCCTTAAATGGTTGGACGAGTTTGGGCTTTATATAATAAAGGCCATTTAGAATGTCATGTACCTGTTTATAGCTTTACTTATTTAAGACATGCTTACACGCAGAAAGTAATCACTATTTTAGTATATAATACACATATAGCAAGTGACATGCACCAGTTACGATGAATAAAGGATTATATCAAATAACATAATTATATATTCGGTCAATATCCTGTATGTGTTGTGATAAAATTTACACGTCAAATGGCCGACCTACATAATGTACAATTATATATTCGGTCAATACCCTATAGTTGTAAAGAAACTTACACGTGGATGAAACGACCGGCCTACATAACGTACAATCCAGTACTCTGTAAGCAAAACAACAAAGATTTATACTACTAATAATCAGTTGGGGTTGTTAATGAGAACTCTTAACTTGGAAATACATAAAGACTGTTAAATAAATGCAACGGTATTAATCAATTTTCCGTTACTTTCATAAATTTCGTTTCGTCTTCGTATCGCTGGCGTTCTTAAATTTGTTCGTTGAAATATATTCAGACTGGAATGGTGGCGCCCATACTTCTTAGTAGGAGCGGACGTATTTTTAACAGCCTCTGGTGGACTCTGTCTGCAGGAAACGATCAGCCAGTTTTTGGGTGGTAGTGTGATCGAATTTAAGCATTCGTTCCACGTCTCTGGTACTCGGATCTGATACGGAGATTTTTTAAGTTGGGGACGGACAGAGGTGTCGACAATATTTCCGGTGGTCAGGGACCGTGTCAGCACTGGTGAACCCGTCACAGTATGGGTAGTTGGTAGCGTGCTTTCCTGCAGATGTTGCCGATAATGTTTCAGTCTTGCCGAGGCATTGCCGTTCATTCTTCTAGCGACCCTGCCTGCAGGAAACGATCGGCCAGTTTCTGGGTGGTTGTGTGATCAAATTTTAAGCATTCGGCCCACGACTCTGGTACTCTCACCGCCTTAAATTAACGCAATGTGTTTTTCTAGATTTTTCATGGTCTCTTTACGAACGTTTACATATAATTAAATTTGTTTCCATGCTCATCACACAATTTAGTGTGGACCCGTACATAACCACACCCACATGTATGACTTGTTTGTCACTTGAACATGTATAGAAAAATTACGAGAACAAATAACTGCGTGTTACATTCCACCCTAGCAATAAAGTGTGACGGACAAAATATTTACAATTTTAACTCGAAAACTGCGAATTTACGTTCATATTACCGTGGGTTGAATTTCAACTACATTCAATGCTAAACGTATCGTATGTAAAATATTAGCATATCCATGGGGTCTATACACCAAATATTTGAACACTTACACTGTGTCGTCATCCTGTGCGTCGGTCCGTCAACAATTGGCTTTAGAACGCGATAGAGGGTACAGAATTTTTTTTTTTAAATTTGGTTTGAAGCATTGTGGTGATAAGATGACAAACCCACTTGACACCCCCTTACATTATTCTATTTAAAGATTCTTGTTTCTTGACACCCCGAGAAGCATTCCCAGAAGAGATTCAACCCTCTTGCAATCTCTTGGGGTAGTCTACATACAGATTCCACCCGCGTGTTACCCCATGGACTATTCTCGTTAACCATTTATTTCGCTTGACACTTAGGCAGATATTCAACCGGTAGGAGTAATAAAGCGGATGTCAAGTGGGTGTAATCTATCTGGCCACAGATCACTAATTATTTCCCCATTGACTTTAATGTTAATTCTCGTCTCTTAGACCGGCGCTAACTTTTTCCCAAATTTTTTGTTGGGTAGAACGCTTTCTGCCACAGATGGAGCAACGTGTGGCAAACAAATGCCCAAAAGCATGTATGAGGTTCACCATGAAAAACTTGACATACACAAGCTGGAAGTAGAGACAAGTAAACACGCAATTTCCGGCCCTACATTCAACGTAACCAACCTCACAACTCTTGTATCTTTCCGCCTCAAAATCATGAATATTCACCAAAACCTGGCAGAAAATGTATTTTCAAACCCTTTTTTCAGCGCCATTTGTAACAAGGGACTCGAAAAACGAGGCTAGACATATTCCACAAATCATGTTATACGGAGGGCATGTACAATAAATACTATCAATGTAGACTGGAATAACCAGACCCTAGAGATTGCCATTCGATTGAGACTTCTGGCATATTTCGCCGAACATAACTGATTAGAAATTACAGTAAAACAGAAACGATTGAATGTAAATCAGTTTATATACATTTATATTACACTATTATTTAGCATGGCATGAAACACAAAATCCTTAACCACTTTAACCATGTAGAATTTTTACGGCAGCAAAAAGGTAATAATGGAGAAATAATAAAGAATGCAGCCGATTTCTTTCCATACTTTTTTCATTGTATGTGTCAACCGCTTCATATTTTCCTTCACATGCTATAGATTTGTCACGAACCCAATGTAGTTTTCCAGTTCACATTGCCATCATCCTCTTTATATAAGATTTAGTTAATGGTAAATTTACCGTTTCACAGTTCCGTGCATTATAGTGAAAAGGTTTTATAAAACACAAAAAAGCATATGCTTGCAGGTTAGAACTTATTATTTCTTATTGACGCCATTTCTATTTTATACGTCAGTGTTTTTTTCTTCTTTTTTTGCATTAATAACAACGTATTTATAATGTTTATTTTTGTATTTAATATTATAAAAAAGCTAAAATATTATTCGACATTCTATGACATAACAAGCATATTAGTCCTATGGATGTAATATAATCTGTGCGACTGTGGATTGAATGACAGGGTTTTGGCGGGGGGGGGGGTGGCTAAAATGTCAACTCCTTATTCATTAAAGGCAACCATCCCCCAAAGTTCTTATGCTCTTTCTAGCCCAAGTTCCCATAAGGGCAAAATGAAACAATTGTAAAGGGACTTTTAATTATTGTTATCTTTGAATATCTACAATGACAAGGGCAACAAGTTAAAAAAAATATAAAATATATAGATTTTTATAAAATAATATCATAAAAATACCCTCTTTCGGTTATCAGAACTTTAAGTAGACACATTATTTTAAACCAGTCTAAAGGGGGCAATGCAAGCACTCTCTTGTGTTCGTAAGACACACCACTTGGAATGCACGATTTATTAATGGTTTTTAAAGATAAGAAGCACGCTGAATGAAAGGTTCATTAACAGAATAATATTCACGCTTGCTTGAGTAGAAGATGATGGGTTACACTCTCGATTGGTGGGCGAGCTTTTGGTACGATTCATCAGCTTGGGAACATAATCCTGCCAGAATGTAATAAGCCTGGCTCGGATGTACTTTCTGGTCATTGGATTTCCGGATTCAGGAAAGTAAAGATACTCCTGTTCATTGTTCGTGTACTCTTTCCATTCTGTTTCAACATTTCTTGGTAGGTTCGGATTTCTAGAGAGAAAAAATGGACATTATCGTACAGTATTAAACAGATTCGCTGATCAGTTTCAGACTTATATCCTTGTTGATACAATGCATATGAACCAAGTGATGTCCATAACTATTACCATAGAGGATTTCCCGGGTTCGCTCCCGGTTTAGGCCGAGAAATTTTGTCTGCTTTTTTCGGCGTTGCTTTCCTACGTATGGCCGAGTTCCTGGCAAGGAAAAGCGTCTAGTTGTTCGGATTGGAAGAAAAACCGAGGTCCCGCGTACAAATTTGCCTGCACGTAAACGAAACCTTGTCTGTTGGAATTCAAAATAGGAGTAGGCTGTATCCAGTGGTGTATGACGGAGTTCCTAGCAAGGAACTACATCTTCTTTCGGATGGGACAAAACCCGGGACCCCGTATTCACATTCGCGTGCACGTAAAAGAGTAGGCCGTTGTGCCGGTGTCTAGGCAAAATTTCCCTCATTGCACACTACATGGCGCATGCCCGTCTTCATTAGTCCAGTCGGTGCATTGGAAAGATAAACGAATCTACTGTTAATTAAATATAACTTCATTGAGAGCAAGACATTATTCCCCGTAACGTAAATAAACTTACGTATTTAGTAGGGACTAATAAAAATAACCGTTTATTCAACCAAGCCTCGGTTTAGCGCGACTTGCGCAATCAACAGGGGAGAACCGTAATTAATCATGAAATCTAGCTCGTCAACGGTTATTTAATAGAATCATCCTGGGAAAGTTGACACCCACGGCTATTTTTTAGCGTCACAATTTGTTCGGGTTTTATTAAGCAATATGATCCTGGGAAGTTAATAAATCATGGTAAGGGTTTAGACGTGACTGGTGATAAATAAAATGAAGCCGCGCGCATACACCATAGTGCACTGTGCAGGAAATGTTGCATGGGTAGCTGTTCCTTGCACGCTGGAAAATCCCTTGCAATTTTTTTCGCTCAACATTGGTCATAAAGCGAATAAATGTGTTAATTATTTATAAAATAGAAACCCGAGAAAAATAACGTTCTGTTTAATATAATTGATAAACTTACCCTGATTTTGCAAAGTTGGTCCAATGATCCATAACCACTTTAGAGAATGGCCACTGACTGTTTATCTGATCTTCAGTAGTGTTCAAAGATGTAGTCAGCGACTTCGGTAATCCAAATACATAACCAAGTACTCCACCATGTCGTGGTGAATTTAACCAGTCGTCAATAGTCTTATGGGCCCTAAACGGAAATACGTGATTATATTCATATAGGTAGGTTTTGGTTTGGTTGTTCATATATGCATGGCTCACGGCGTCTCTATAAGCAGGCACTACAAATAAGGTATCCGTTAGGAAATCGGTAAACTGTTTCAGATTAAAGTCCAGATCGTCCGGATCTTCGGCATTCGTATACAGATTCGTAATAGCATCAATCAATGCTTCCAGTGAGTTAGCATCGGGGGCAATGTTCATCTGTGCAACGAAACCTTTGACAAAGTGTCTGAACAGAGAACGTATTCCAGGAATGGAAGTATTTTTCATCATAATAAGACTGTCCCTGAAAGTACTTTCAATTCGAAAATGGCCTTCGTATCCATTTACTCCAAGTAGCAAATCTTTCCCCTGATAAACATCCTTGAGTTTATTCATATGATGCGGTGCTTGAGGCCAACGAATTGTGTTCAACTTGGTAAGATCAAACCTGGGAACCCAGGAATATATATTTGGTTCAGACGCTATTGACCAGATATCCTCTGCCTTGACTAATGTGAGACAATTTAGGATTTCCTTGCTTGCTTTTCGTCTGTTGTTTGGTATCGAACAATTTAATGCCATGGCGAATCTCTTAGCAGTGTTGAATTGTTGATCGGGTGTGGACTGAGTCCAAAACCCATTAACGGAACCACACTGTGATATAGCTCTTTGGAATAACGACTGGTTCCCAAATAAAATATGATACATAATGCCTGCGGGACTGGAAGATTCTCCAAAGATTGTAACCATGGAACTGTTTCCGCCAAAACTATCAATGTTATCTTTCACCCATTTCAAGGCAGTCTGTTGATCAATTGTCCCTAAATTGCCCGGGGCATGGCTGTCCCCAGTTGACAAAAATCCAAAAGGTCCGTATCGATAGTTCATCGTCACTACAACCACGTCACCGTATGCAGCTAATCTTTTCCCGTCGTATAAAGACGATTTACCGTGAAGAAAAGCTCCACAGTAAATGAAAATCATGACTGGGTAATTATCTGTCCCGTTGGTGGAGGGAGTAAAAATGTTCAAGCTTAAGCAGTCCTCGCTATGATTAACAATGGGTGTCTCTGGAGTAAATTCATAACAGGGTGGGCCATACTCAAAAGCTTCGAACACATCACTTGCGTTCCCTGATTTTAAGATGGAGTGCTGGAAACGTAATTTACCAATAGGGGGTTCAGCATAGGGAATCCCTAAATACTCCACAATCGTTATATTATTATCATCGATAGAAACAGTGTTTGTTTTACCTTTTATGACCCCCGCGGTTGCAGTAGTTGTATTAATAATTTCCGCTTGATATCCAACAACACACACACACAGAAGTAATACGGTGTTTAACACTGAATGGGTAAAAAGTGACATCATGATGGCTACTTTTCTCAAAATATGAGTTCTCTGCTCAAGAATATTTCCAACAGTTTGTTTTATAATACTCTCTGTTGGTATCTACGGTGTTACTTAATTGTCACATCCGTTAAATGACTACAAGCATATAGGTCAAAATCGGCCTGCGTAATATCACTTGTGAAAATGTGAAGTAAATGTAACCAACCATGCAAAACTAAGAACATGCGCATGGGTAGCGACTTAAAGAAGAACACAGGCCGTTTCGAATTTTTTAAACATTATATTCATAATCCTTTTAAGACATATAGAAATAGATTTCACTAAAAATAAAACACACTTATATGGATATACTACTTCTGAATTTATTAACATGCTACGTTTCGATACACATACAGATATCGTTTTCAAGCAAATATTCATAGTCTATATAGATGTCGAAAGGAAACAAGAAGCTTACAAAGAAATGATTATTTCATGTTCCTGAAGCAACGACAGCGAATTTCACAACATTTTAGCTGGAAAGCGTGAGGCTTGGTATTCGCGATGATTGTGGAATCTAGTGGGCTCTGAAGTTGGGTCAGTACACAATCGAAATTAGTGCCGAAATATACAGGGAAAAACGTGAAGGACTTGATAACCTCCCTGCTTTGATTCAATCCGATTTAAAACCGGCTTATCAACCCTGCTCGCCCACAACATAATGGCGACCGGCAAGTAGCATAGATCGATGAAATTTCAATTCAACATTGAGCCATTTTTATACCGGTATTCCTATTAAAGATTCATCTTTCACAATATTGTAGTTTTCAACGGATACTTATCGCGCTTAAATGACGCAATGATGCTTTAGTTTTGAAACCAAATTTACAGGGTCGGGAATATACACATTATTGTCATATTAAGAGTGGTGTTATTCGTTTGGAAATATATATCAACAGTAGATTTTGTCGTATAGAATCATGTAAAGAGACAGAAGACATGGAATTGGGGACCTAAGAATTCGGCTGTTTGTTTCGGACGAACGACTAGATACTTTTCCTAACTGCACTATAGTCTGCAGTCTGCAATCTGAATGCGAAAACGCGAAACATTTTAAGTAGCTGTAAGATTTCAACTCTTGTTTATAACACTTTTTTTTAATTTTGGCATATCTTTGCAATTGTTTAGCGCCGAGTTTTAAAATTTTACAAAACAATTTTTTTGTGCCTATATTGAATGGCATTTTGGATACGGGTGTAAGGCGTTCCGACATTTCTCTAAGTTATTTCGCCTTTCGCAACATAAGTTTGGATGATCTAGCTTCATTATTTATTATTCTTTTCGTCTAAAATAAATTTTGTATGCTTCGTAAACATTTTTCTGTAAGGACCGAAAGTGGCGTAACTTCGACAAAAACGCCCTTCGTACGTCTTCTGAACACGTTTGGGGTACCAAATTAATGTTTGAATTCATCGTCAGCTATTAGATCAACACATAAGACGAGCTCATTACGTCAGTCGTGGAGACGGGCTGCCAGTTAAAAGCATGCAATGTGTGTTTTTGGAGGGTACTTACTTTGCCTATATACCAAATATGTCAGACTTTTATTGAAAATAACTACCCTATATTTATTTTTGTGCAAATGTATCTTTAAGTAGAATTAGAAGTAAGGTTTCCCTTAAATGGTTGGACGAGTTTGGACTTTATATAATAAAGGCCATTTAGAATGTCATGTACCTGTTTATAGCTTTACTTATTTAAGACATGCTTACACGCAGAAAGTAATCACTATTTTAGTATATAATACACATATAGCAAGTGACATGCACCAGTTACGATGAATAAAGGATTATATCAAATAACATAATTATATATTCGGTCAATATCCTGTATGTGTTTACACGTCAAATGGCCGACCTACATAATGTAGAATTATATATTCGGTCAATACCCTATAGTTGTAAAGAAACGACCGGCCTACATAACGTACAATCCAGTACTCTGTAAGCAAAACAACAAAGATGTATACTACTAATAATCAGTTGGGGTAGTTAATGAGAACTCTTAACTTGGAAATACATAAAGACTGTTAAATAAATGCAACGGTATTAATCAATTTTCCGTTACTTTCATAAATTTCGTTTCGTCTTCGTATCGCTGGCGTTCTTAAATTTGTTGTTGAAATATATTCAGACTGGAATGGTGGCGCCCATACTTCTTAGTAGGAGCGGACGTATTTTTAACAGCCTCTGGTGGACCCTGTCTGCAGGAAACGATCAGCCAGTTTTTGGGTGGTAGTGTGATCGAATTTAAGCATTCGTTCCACGTCTCTGGTACTCGGATCTGATACGGAGATTTTTGAAGTTGGGGACGGACAGAGGGGTCGACAATATTTCCGGTGGTCAGGGACCGTGTCAGCACTGGTGAACCCGTCACAGTATGGGTAGTTGGTAGCGTGCTTTCCTGCAGATGTTGCCGATAATGTTTCAGTCTTGCCGAGGCATTGCCGTTCATTCTTCTAGCGACCCTGCCTGCAGGAAACGATCGGCCAGTTTCTGGGTGGTAGTGTGATCAAATTTAAGCATTCGGCCCACGACTCTGGTACTCTCACCGCCTTAAATTAACGCAATGTGTTTTTCTAGATTTTTCATGGTCTCTTTACGAACGACGTTTACATATAATTAAATTTGTTTCCATGCTCATCACACAATTTAGTGTGGACCCGTACATAACCACACCCACATGTATGACTTGTTTGTCACTTGAACATGTATAGAAAAATTACGAGAACAAATATCTGCGTGTTACATTCCACCCTAGCAATAAAGTATGACGGACAAAATATTTACAATTTTAACTCGAAAACTGCGAATTTACGTTCATATTACCGTGGGTTGAATTTCAACTACATTCAATGCTAAACGTATCGTATGTAAAATATTAGCATATCCATGGGGTCTATACACCAAATATTTGAACACTTACTCTGTGTCGTCATCCTGTGCGTCGGTCCGTCAACAAATGGCTTTAGAACGCGATAGAGGGTACAGAAATTTTTTTTTTCAAATTTGGTTTGAAGCATTGTGGTCATTAGAAGACAAACCATATCGATATGCAGTACACAGTGACATTCCGTTCCTGGGTTACCCTCCTTCGCCGATCACGATAGAAGCTGTAGTTTTTAACGGATGCTATTCAAACTTAGTGGGATGCATAGGGGTCATGGGTATGAACCCTACTGATTTTCAGCGTTCCATCTTTTCTGAAAACATTGTAACGCGTAATTTTAAACGGATTTTATTCAAATTTTATGGGAAGCTTTGGGGTCATGAGGATGAACTCTACTGAATGTGAGCATTCCATGACTTTTCGTTACGGAGTTATCCACCTTGTCTGAAACACTGAACGCGACCGAGGCTACAGTTCTTAAAGGATATCTTTCAAGTTTGGTGGGAGGCATTGGGGTCGTGAGCGGATAACCCTATCTATATTAAGTGTTCTGCGACATTCCGTTCCCGAGCTGGGGGTCAAGGTCGCTACGTGGGTAAGTCGCTGCCTCGCTAGGCTGGAGGTTTGGCCGAGAAAGTTCATCCAGATTTTCCGTCGTGGTTCCCCCCTTGTAAGTGATGCAGGACGGAGGGCCTGACAAGGACATCTATCTAGTTATTCAGATGGGACGAAAACCCGAAGTCCCGTGTACACATTGGCGTGCACGTAAAAGATCCCTTGAAAATTGGAATTCAATATGAGTAGGCTGTAGTTCCGCTGTCCGGGCAAATGTTCCCCCATAGCACACTGTATGGCGTATGCTCATCTTCATTTCACTGTATTATTGACCAGATTGAGACGTAGGGGTGGGGTAACAGAGATTAATGGTATATATCACCGAATCGACTCACTGTGTGTTCAAGCTATTTGCTTACAAGGTCACAACTTCACGTCACGTGAGTAACTTTGTTACGAACTCTACGTGCAATTGAAAACATGGTATGTAGATAACAATTCCCAGGCGATATTAAAGCGTCTCTTCAATTTAATCAGTTTCACCTTGAAGATGTCAAATTTTAACATATACGCGTTTACCAGATAATTAACTCCACATAATTCATCGAGAAGTAAAAATGAAATTCCAGAAAAAAAGTCATGCTGTTCAACATTTTCTCAGTTATAAGCGACATTTTCGACACACTATTAAACAGCGTTATTTTTTAAGTGGATTACATCGTATAAATGAATATGACCTTCATGCTTATAAACAACCACAATATGGTTTAAAGTAGGTAGCATTTTGAAACCTTAGTGAAAGACGTGTTCGATCCCAGCGTTTGCTGATAAAGTTCATCGGGATTTTCCTTCTTGTCAGTGTCGCAGGACCGGGCGCACAGCAAGGAACAGCGTCTAGTCGTTCGGATGGGACGAAAACCGAGGTTCAGTGTACACAGTAGCGTACATGTTAACGATCCCTTGGCAGTTGAAATTCGATACAATACAAAAGTAGGCCGTAGTGCCTCTGTCCGGACAAAATGTCCCTCATAGCACACTGCATATCCTTACTCATTGGCCCAGTCGGAACAGGGCAGTAGGACGTTAAACACCAATTCATTTATATGCGTAACCGACAGGAGTCGCTAAAATGGTATCTATGCCACTAGCTTAGAAAGTAGACGAGATAAAGTTTCAAAGTACCTCACACGTACAAAAATGTCAAGAATCCGAAGCTTAAAAACTGTCGAATACGGCTTTAATTGAATTTTACAGTATTTCAAATTATATTTATGACTTGTTACAAGATCTTCGGAAAGTTGTTAACTACATATACGTTATATGTATTGATCACATAAACAATCTTTCCAATATGCCACCCACAATTCCATCTGACGACATTCAATATCTTAAAACCCCCGCTTCAGATTTATTTGAATCCAACATATTTCAAGTTATATTTATGATTGGTTTGTGGGATCTTTATATTCAGAAAACTGTTGAGTTAATTGCATTTGCGACGTATTCATTGATCGCATAAATAATGAATTCCGTATTAGAAGTTATGCAATTTAAATGACATAAAGCCCTCGGTTCCTTGAGCAATCAAATTAAGGGGATATTTTTGACTTTAAAGCATGTCAGGTTTCAACTTAATGTCGGGATATCTGTAGTATATCGATAAAACAGTCTTAATTTGATTCCTGT